ATGTCCACCATTTGTTCAATGAGCTCCTCATCGCTAATACTTATAATATCGTCAAATATTTCGCTGAAAAAGTCTTTTTCATTGTTTGAATCGTCAGATGAGTTGGTGGTCACCGACAGGCTATCGGCAGTCAATGCATTGAATTTGTTTTGTTTTAATTTGTTTTCTTTTATCAATTGTTTTCTCATTTCATTTTGTTCGGCGTTTCGGATGAATTCCTATTCATTAAGTTTATTCAAAAATATATAATATTATTCATATATACTGCCAATAAAACTAACCTTTTTCATTCCCACATCGAAACACTTATTAAGTCTACATTTTTTGCATTTACTTCTCGTCTCTATATTCATATCGCACTCACCATTAGATTTGCAATTTAATTGCTATTTACATAATTAAACATTATAGTAATGAGACAATTATTTAATAATATAAATTAAGGTCATACCTCATATCTAAATCCAAACCTCCTGAAAAATATTCGACACGATTCACATGTCATGACAGTAAAATTCCTGGCTAAGTTTTTTAAAATAAAATTTTACTATTTATAACCTAATTAATAGTTATAATTTATAAATACCTATTCCCTTGTCGCCACAAATTTCACAAATTTTTCTTACTTTATTATTACTCATATTTGTTATAATTTTTATTTAAATGTTATTAAATTAATTACAAAAATATATTGTTTACACAAAATTAAAACTAGTATTGGCAGTAACGTTTGATACTACTTAAACATTAAGTCTTAATATGTGTATAAAAATAATTCATTACACAATTGTTTGTTATTAACATGGCAAATTTGAAGGTCGATTATCACATGATAAGCATTATCAATTCAATTAGGAAAGTACTTTACACTAATAATTTGTCGGCATGCATATTAAAAAGACATTTTTATCAATTTAAAACTACTTATAATTTTTATTATGATTTATTAAAAACTATTTGAACTATAAATTAGATAACTAGTGATCGGAACATAATTTATGATCACACTAGTTAGTTTAAAATAATTTACTTTATTTAAAATAGTTATGTATTTATATATTGTAAATGTTATGCAAAAAATATTTCTCTCATAAGAGGACCCATATATTGCTTATACACTGAATATTCCTTCATTCGTATTGTCATCTCAATGTCATTCAATGCATTCAAGTCTTGCAATGAATTCATTAAAGTTTGAAGTTTTAGCTCAGATTCCGACCCATATTTCAGTTGTAAATATTTGCGTAACAAATAAATATACAATTTCTGCTCAAGTCTAATAAATACAAATTATGTAATTTTAGTAAAATGTGCTTGTTATTATTTACCTGACTTGATGTCTGTGCAATAGGTTTGGGCGATTCGGGTTGAATAGTATAATAGCCATTAACTAAACATGTTAAATGTTTTTAAAATTAAAATAATTTAAAATCATAGTCAATAAGCATTACCAAGTTAATTTCAATAATGTCATTGTAATTTAAATTCAAAATAACTTTATGTGAGTATGTTTTGAAATAATCGGGGTAATTATCAACTTGATAATCCAATCCATCCACAGCTGATTCTAACACAATATTATTATCCTGGTAAATTAATAAGAATTAATAAGGATATTAAATTAAAATTTTAATTTTAAAAGTTGTTTACATAACTGCATTTCTTAAAGCACTTACAAATGGTATATAAAAGGCGCAATTGTCCTTGTTATAATATTTGAAAGCACAAATATCTATCAATTCATTGCACCCGTACTTTACGAGTGCCATCCGGTCATCGAAACAAATGCTATTAAATCCGTTCAAACATTGCGTAAAATCTATAATATCTCTGATAAGGCTATCATTTCTATCGCCCATATATCGCCACAATTCATCAAAATTTGTGATTTTAATCANTTGCGTAAAATCTATAATATCTCTGATAAGGCTATCATTTCTATCGCCCATATATCGCCACAATTCATCAAAATTTGTGATTTTAATCACATCCCTACCCATCGGATAGTTAAACCTAACCGTAGCCTCCATTAGCTCTGATATACGACTGGCCTCTAATTCATTCAGACCTTTATAATCAGTTAATGATTTATATATAGGAACGGCTATCAAATCATTATTTTGAATATCTATGATTTTGTTATTCACGCTAATTGTCAAACAATTCTCAATTTCCATGATCTGTTCATTAAGACCCTCATCATTAATATTCATTGAATTGTCAAAAATATCACTTAAAAAGTCTTTTACTTTAATGTTTTCATCAGAAATTGATTCAATGGATGAGTTAGATGTCGCAGAAATAATACAATTAACGGATTCAATAGTTTTGTCAAATCTGTATTTCTCATAAATCCCTATGAATTCCTAATAAGAAATAAATTTTATATTATATTTATGATAATTAAAATAAATTACCTTTTTCATTCCGACGGCAATACATTTCTCGAGTCTACACTTTTTGCATATACTTCTCGTTAATTGATTTATAATGCAATTGCCATTAGAGGGACATATTAGATGCTATTTATATAAATTATCAAGTTATTAGTAATTATACGCAAATTGATTTTATATTTACTTTTGTTTTGTGTGCAAATCGTCTGAAAAATGTTTTACATGATACACAGGTAATTACAGTACAGCTTCTACCTAAATATTAAAATATTTTTAATTATTATAAATAACTTTAAATATTATGTAAAAATATTTAATATATTGTATTTACATAAATAACATTACCTATCGCTTTAGCGCCACAAACTTTACATATTTTAATAATTTCTTTATCATTCATAATGTACTTGATAGTTTAAATTAAAAAATATAAATCGCAAACAAAAATTTCTTGAAAATAAATTATAGTAAATAATGAAAATTTGATACAAAAATAAAAGTAAAATATAAATTAAATGTTCACTGACTTTGAGCATCAAATTCAGTTCATAATCACACACATTACATTGATAATATTTATCAGTTGATAATGAATTAATGGACTTTATTTATTTTTGTCAATCATTTCAAAATTCTTATAACACTGTAAACTTGTATATAATATAATAAAAATTAAATTTTTGTAATTCAGTGTAAATGCTGAATTTTGAATATTACATAAAATTGTTAATTTACTCATATACTGTATTATGCTAGATAAATTTCCCTCATAAGTGGGCCAATATATTGGTTATATATGAGATATTCCTTTAAACCAATTGTCATCTCAATCTCATTTAATATATTTAAGTCTTTTAATGAATCCATTAGACTCTGAAGTTTTGCATCCGACTCGCACCTGTATTTTAGTTGCAAATATTTGTGTAGCAAATAAATATATAACTGTTGCTCGAGTCTAGGAATTATAAATATCAATGTAATTAACTTATTATTGGTTTATTTTTTATATATTCAAAAATAATTTTATTTGTTGCAAATTACCTGACATTATGTCTTTGCAATAGATTTGGGCGATTGGGATTGAATAGTATAATAACGGTTAACTATTCAAGGTAGAAATGTACATTCAGTTTAACTTAATGATAAATATTCTACTAATACAGTATAATGTATTAAATTACCAAGTCCATAACAATATGATCATCATAATTCCAATTCATCATAAGTTTATTCGTGTATTCTTTCCACAGTCGAGGATAATTGGTATCCTTATAATCGAGGTCAATAATCGATGACTCTATCACTACATTATTGTCCTGGTTCACATATAAAAATTTAAAGCATAGTTAAAAGTAATTGCCATGTTATAACCACCTATGTTTTACAAGCACTTACTATCGGCCATTGATAAGCTCCCGTTTCCCTGTTATAGTATTTGGACACACGGACTATAATCAACTCATTGCACCCGTATTTGACCAGTGCCATTTTGTCGTTGTGGCAAATGTTATGATT